TATTTAAATTCACACTTAAATTTTTGATAAACTCTTTTAACTCCTCTTATCCCAAATCCTAATTAGTTCTGCCGCTAAGATATTAACTATAGAGAATCTAATCTGACAAGCTCATTGAGTTATAGTTCAATTTTTTACAGGTAGGACACTAGTCCTACAAGCATACATGTATAAAGTTCTTGTTATGCAACCTTATCAATGGATGTCTGTTTTCTTTTCAGGCATAAAAATCAAAGAACGATATATATTAACACAAATTTAAATATGAATATAAAAAAATAAAATGATTTATTCTTGGAATTCTTATAGGAATTCCTCCTTAAATTTTGTGACAAATCTTGCGGAACATTATATTCAAATATATATATATATATATATATATATATAGTCTTATATCAATCTGATGTATTTATTGCAAGAATTGGGTTGTCGGCACCCAAACTTGCCATATAAAAAGTTCCTCTTAAATTTAACTAATCATGTAAGCATAAATGTATGAATAATATTCCTACTTATTGTATCACTTTTTTTTTTTTCTCTTTATATAGAATAGAAACGGATATTCATAATAAAGCATAATATACTGCATAAAACAAACCTTTGAGAAAGGGATTAGTAGTTGGTCCTTAAAATCTGAAAACCCCACGAGCCCCACATCAGCCTTCTCTTCTGCAAACCGATCCTTAATTTCCACCAACCTTTCAGCCACGGTGCCACATCCGGCGAACCTTCCGGTGAAGTATCTCCCTCCCACCACCTCAAGCTCTGGCGCCAAAACTTCACTCTCACCAAAACAATCTTCAACAAACCTCTTCACCATCACCTTCGGCAAACTGCTAACCACCACCCTTCTCCCCGCCGCCGCCGCCACCTTGTAACTTCTGCGATCTATCTCCTCCAAGTAAATCTTTGGCAATACCGCTCTTGCTACAACATTCATATTCCTGCAGCTCAACCCACAGAAGGTGACGAATACCATAACCCTTAAAGCCAACTCGCTCTTAGGCCCCAAAAGGAGAATAAAAGAGTAAGAGAGGAAAAGTAGAATGGCTCTGATCAGCCCACCACCCTCAAAGGCAACCAACATGAAGAAGGAGAAAAGGGCGTGTGGTCTAAGTAAAGAGTTATGGAAGTTGAAAAGCAAGGAATAGTTCTTTCTTCCCTCCAGCCGGAATGAAGAGATTGAGAAGAGTTGATACTGGTTCAGTCTTGACGGGTTCCTGTGGAAGAAGAAGGAGTTCCTTATCTTTCTTGCCGCTCGGTAGAAGGAGAAGGGCAAGTGAGAAGCGGTCTTGAGGAGAGACATGAGAACAACGATCGGTCAGCAATTTCCCGGTTTCATAAATTTTTGATCTTGGTTGATGTCTGAGGATGGTTCATATAAGCGATATATATAGGATTACAAAAAGTAATGTTCCACTCGGGCTTATTGGTAATTACCATTTAACAATTACCGAAGTTAAATATTTTGAGTTTTTTTCTTTTTTTCTTTTTTTTTTTTTGATGTCGACGCGTCTTCTAATTCTAGGGAATGCATTCAATTTATATTTATTATTTTACGCAAAATCCGAAACTTAAGAGGACAAACATCATAAAATATTAATAAAAAAATTTTCTTTATTTAATATTTTATCCTAACAATAATAATAAATAATTGTTTTTTTTATTAATTTTAAATTTTGATTGTTTGAATTTAATCCATCTTATTTTTATGGGCATCATAAACTAACATTTTTAATATATCAAAATACCTGCAAAAAAATATTATTAATCTATGTTAAAAAGAACTATAAGAATTTGGGGAATAAAAAGTGTATCGATACATAATCTGTTATTTTAATATTAGTATTTGGAAGGATATAATTTAGCGAAGTTAGGTTAAACCATTAGATGAGCAGCATGGGAGTAAAATATTACTACATGACAATATACATGTTCGGAACATTTAAGAAGGTGGTTGAGGTGGTGGGGTTGTTTGTACACATTAATCAATGTTGACACTCAAAATATGATACGAAAGAACACATCACTGCTAGGGCTAATTCGTGGAAGCTACACAGCAGAGAGCGTCTGGGAGAGATTGAACAGGGAGTTATGGAGGAAATAATATCAATTTATGTCGACTGATTTGGGTCCATAGAAGAGTGAAACGTACGACTAATGGCCCTTGCGATTCTTCTTTGAATGTTGCCAACCTGCAATCATAAATATACCTATTGGTATTGTACTTTACATGCAATGCTAAATTCTTTGAGATTTTCAGATATCAAGTGTGAAAGTTGTGGTGTGAACCTATCATTTTACAGGGGTGTGGCGTGTTTGCCGTTTGATTTTTACTCAAAGAAGGAAAATATTTCATCAGTATTTTTAATCTAAATATGTGTCTAAATTTTCAGGAGTGCCGCAAGATGAATACTCAAATTGTAAATATAATAATAAGGAAATAAATTATTTTATTTTATAGAATTTTCAGCATTGATGATAGAATTTATCAGACGCACATACTGAAAAGACAACAAGAAAGATAAGATAACAAGAGAGAAACTCATTGGAGATATCAGATTTTCTACGTAGAAACATGAAAGAAAAATTGATGATTTGCACGAGTAAAAGTGGAGCTGGAAAGATACTTAAAAATTGGGAAATTTATATACCTAGCATATAATTTTTATATATTTGAGTATCTCACATCAAAACTTTCATATTTAGTTATATCATACTTTGGTCCTTTGCATCAATACCTTATAATATATATTTCACATTTAAATAGTGATAATAGCGCTATTATTTTTTAATTTGATATTTAAGTTTTGAGTGGTATGAGTGTAAAGATCAAAGATCTAGCTTGGGACATGCAAATGCATGAGAGCGGTGTTCTATGTAGGTCAATTCCCCTATAAAGGAAATTTACATAACTAGCACACAACTCTTAAACATTTAGGCATCCACACCCAAACTTTCAAATATAGATACATCATAAATTAGTGCTTTAAATTTATTTATGAAAATATGCATTTCAGTTCTTGAAGAGTGATAATGATGCTATTTTTCAATTGATATCGAGGTACTGAGGGTTTTGTATGTAGATATGAAATTTTATGTTTGAGATATGTAAATGCATAAAAACTTTGTTATATGTATGTAATTTCTCTTTTTAGAGGTGAATTTACACACATAGCAAATAATTATTTTTTATGATGTATCTCACACCAAAACTTTCATATTTACATATACATCACACTAGTGCTTTAAATAAATACATGAAAATGTGTATTTCACATTGAAAAAGAGATATTATTTCTAATTTTTCTTTACTATTGAGGTTTTGAGTGCTATATGTGTAAAAGATGAAATCATAGTTTTGAGATATGTATATACATAAAAATTGTATTCTATATATATAAATTTCCTACTAAGAACATGAACAGATTAATATGGAAGACTTTAGGGATGGCCATTGTTGGAGTAATCCTCTCTAAAAGTTTTTAATTAAAGCAAGTGAATGATAAAATTTTCGTAAGTCAAAATTAAAAAACAATATAAGGCTAAAAAATTACATAAATATTGCCATTCAAAAATTTTAGGCAATATAAGCTCATATCCACTCTATTTTAGCAAATTTGAAATAACTGTGTAGTTTGACTTATTAACTCAATCTTAAAAGTTTATATAACTGATGTGACTTTTTTATATGCTATGCTTCATGAAGTTGACACCACTACTTGAAGATTTTAATCCCCGACAACGACGTCAAAAGCATGATGCAGACCTTATTTATTTATTTATTTTTGATTAATTTTATATATTCTATATAGTCACAATGATATAAACGTAAGTATACGTATCGCTCAAGTAATACAAAACTTTAATGGAGTTCCGTTTATCGATCCCACAAAGAAGCGAGGAAAGAGGTCCTTAGTCAAAGTTCTAGTCTACTGCTATCAGGCCTTAGATTAGAATGTCAATTAAAATTGTGTTTATCTAGCAACTACTCTTAAATGTAAATGTTAAATGTAATGATAATAACTATTCCTAAATGCAAATGTTAATTCTAAAGATAACCCCTTTTTGGATGAATTGGTTTGGAGGATTTATAGATGTTAAAAACTACTATTCTTATATAGTGAATTGGATAATACAAAAGAATGAGATAAATTAAATATTGTTTGTGCCAAATAGAAGCAATTTTAACTCTCTACCCTGATTAAGTGTTATAGAAAATCATTGGTTAATCTTAGGTTTAGTCCCTAAATCTGTGGTTGGGCTGAGAGGATACTGACTCTCACTCCAAAGCTCCCACTTCTCTTCCCCTGAAGGTTAAAGCTCGCTTTAGTTCTTAAATTCTTAGACCAAATTGGGGATTTTAGTTTGTGACCTTAAAATCTCCAATTCTATGTCCAAATATATATATATATTCTCATTTGTTTGCACTCAACCACTACGAACTTTACCATCAATGGAATTTGAATGTGGTTCCACTTTGTTGAGAATTACACTGCCCTCC